TCCAACCATCCATCCAACCTCCCTCCCGTCCTACCTACCAACCTACAAACCAACCAACCAACCAACCAATCAACCAACCAATCATCCATCCATCCATCCAACCTCCCTCCCATCCTACCTACCAACCTACAAACCAACCATCCAACCATCCATCCATCCATCCATCCATCCAAACAAACAAACATCCAACCATCCATCCAACCTCCCTCCCGTCCTACCTACCAACCTACAAACCAACCAACCAACCAACCAACCAAACATCCATCCATCCATCCATCCATCCACCCATCCAAACAAACATCCAACCAACCAACCAACAAACCTTCCATCCATCCATCCATCCATCCATCCATCCAAACAAACAAACATCCAACCATCCATCCAACCTCCCTCCCGTCCTACCTACCAACCTACAAACCAACCAACCAACCAACCAACCAAACATCCATCCATCCATCCATCCATCCACCCATCCAAACAAACATCCAACCAACCAACCAACAAACCATCCATCCATCCATCCATCCATCCATCCATCCAACCAACCAACAAAACAACCAACCATCCATCCAACCATCCATTCATCAATCCATCCATCCATCTCTTCATTTGTGACCCTCTGCTGCACTGAAAGTGCTACAGCTAGCTGCTGCTGCTACTGTTTGTGTTTTTGAGTAACTGTATAATTTTATAGTTAATGWTTGAGTAACTCCAGTCTGAACTGGTCTGAAATGCAGAAACTTTAATTGTTTAACAGCAACAATCCTCTTTGTTCTCAGCTGTTTTCAGACTAGCCTTTAGCTCATCAGTCCTGTCAGAAATCAACACATTCATTCATGGCAGAAGTTGTGTTCAGGTGCTCATGACACCAGAACCAAATGAAGCTGCTCTCTGTCTGCAGCCACCACTCTTCATTAATCCACTAATTAGTAATTAATCCTCCTCGTTAGTTCTGTTCTTCATCAGTTCTTCTCTCTGATGCAGGTTGTTCTTCATCTTGAAAAGAAGCTTTTTAACTACGTCAACCAGGATGTTTTCCGGGAAAACAACGGGACCTCAGTAAGTCTGAATCCTSCACTGTTGTGTTTCATCAGTTAAAGGTCATTTCATGGACCTCTGGGGTCACTGCATGCTACACAGAGCTACAGTCTGAGCAGCACTGCGTCCATCTAGGACCGGTCCAAATGTCTCCAGAGCTTCTGTCAGGCAGGACAGCATGATGGACACGAGCTGAGTGTTTAACATCTGCAGCACAAAACACCTTTAACTCTCTCCGGCTTTTATACGGCCGTATATTACATAAAGTAGATCAGAGCTGCAGCTTGTTAAACACACATACACACACACACACACACACACACACACACTGAACCGACTCTGAAGCTGCGGTTTATTAAAGCTGCTGGACTCATAATATAAAAAGTTTATGTTAAACCTGAACAATAAATCAAATCATTCAGGATTTTATTTTATTTATTTTTGATCCTGGAAGGAAAATAATTCTTACAAACCAAACTGATGTGAGTGAATTCAGCTGTTTCCTCCTTTAAATCACTGATTTGTTGGACAGAAGTGTGCAGGTTCATACATTATTAATGAAGTGCATTTG